TGTACCCACGCACGGAGAAAGATCACACTGACGCCTGCTTTGTGCTTTGGAGGAGACGCCTGCCGGATCCTCAGGAGTCCCAGGTTAGGACACCGTCCTCTCTGACTGGGGTAAGTAGCAGCTGCCGCATTTTTTTCAGTTAGAGCCCTTGGAGAGAAATGCAGCCGTTTCAAAAGACAAAGTGCCTCCCCGTGGGGCAGCCTGTACGGTCTAAACGGGGTGTCACTTTTTTTTTCCAATTCTGAAGGCCCTGGAGTTATATAGTCTCTCCGTAAAAGAGATATAATGTTCTCCTTTTATGAATGAGGGCCCAGGAGCACTTGCAAAGGGCTACATGTGGTTCTAAAAATATGCTGTGTGGGGCCTTTCTGGTGGCCTAGGGGTTGACACTCAGGCTATCACCGCTGCAGCCTGAGTCTGATCCACACTCAGAGAGCTACCCACATGGCGCGGCAGACCTCTCCTGTCTCCCCACTGCTCCCCTCAGCAGTGTGTTTCAGTAGATCCGCCTGTTCTGCTCCCTATTCTGTCTCTGGTGAGTCCTCTCACCCCTACACCTCTGGCCTACCCCCCCCCATTCTTCTATGCAAAAATAAATAAAATTAAAAAAAATGCTGTGGCTTTGACTGGCTGCTGGAGAGGCCCACCTTGAGGGCTGAGCATCCGGGTACGGAGGGGCGCGGAGACCAAGCAGGCAGAGGGGGAGCTGCTGGAGCGCAGGCTCCTGGGTGGGGCCTCTCCAGCTGTTGCCAAATGTGGGGGCAGTTGCTAGTGGCTTTTCTGTTCCAGAGCCCCCCAGGACGCCAGCAAGGAAAAAAGGGGATACAGGATTTGAGGGTGTAAATAATCCCAAGTTGACTTTTCCGTGATTCGCGAGCTCAAGACTCCGGACGGTCCCCAGCGGGTCGCGGGAGGATGCTGTGTGCTGGGGCAGACCTGGGCTTGAATCCCGGCTGCCCGTTTGACTGAGCCGGCCACCAAGGCCCCCTGAGCATGGGCATTTCGTTCCAATCACGGGTATTGTGATCTCGACTTCACGGGGTTGAGATGGGGATTTCCGCGGTGAGGGGAGCTCATGCTGCCCCGCAGGGCAGGGGGCGCGTAACGAAAGCTCCCTCCTTCCCCTTTCCTTGGTTGTTGGGAGAAGCCAGGCCTCGGTTCCACTGCCTGGGAAGCTCGCGGGCTGGGAAGGATACACCACAGCGTGTCCACTCACCTCCAGGCAGGCTGGGAGTGATTGAAGGGACGACTTCAGATGTTCGGAAGACCAGGAGCTACTGCTTTGATGTCTGCTTTAAAAATTCTCTCCTTACTGTGGCTTCGCTTTGGACTTTTTGGTTCTGCAGGATTTCCTAATCCCCTTTAAATAAAGATCAAAAAGAAGCCGGCTCCTGGCAGCAGCTCCCCCTCCCTGCTGGCCAGTAGCTGCAGAGGTTGGGCTTGAAAGTCCTGGCGACTGCCTTGAGCTCCTGAGCACTCTCTGGGCTCCGAACCAGCGGGACGCTCAGTCGTCTCGTGCCGGATCAAGCCCCGGGCTGCTGCTCCCGAGCGTCGGGAGTCCCAGTCGCACAGCCTCCCTGAGCCGGGCACGGCTGTGAGAGCTCACACCCACCAGGGGGTTTGCTCCTGCCTTCAGGTGACCACACCATGATCCCCTTTGTTGGACGGGGACGCCGAGGCACAGGACGGCGCAGGGACTCCCCAGAGTCACCCAGAGGGTAAGTGGCAGAGTTAGGGGCGGGGAGGCAGGGCCCATGTACATGGCTATGGCGCCGGGTGAGGGGGACACAGCCTGGGGTTGGTTCTCAGCCTGAGGCAAGTCCAGACCACCACTCTGGGGGTTTCTCCCTCCCCGTTCAGAGGCTCCTGTCCACAGTGCTCTGGTATTTGCGATCCCCAGCACATTCTGGGGACCATGGCCACACAGCCACGCATACCCCCCCCACACCCCACGCCCACCCCCAGGTACTCCCCCGTGTGCACATGCATGCACACGCAGTCACATGCATGCACACGCGGTCACGCCCCCACAGCCCAGCACAGGAACTGGAGGAGGGACAAGGGTACCCGATACCCTTCTCCCTGATCACCACCCCCACGGGGCTCTGCAGAGATTCTGGGCTCTGGGCTCCTCCAGAGACTTCTGGGCTCGGCTCTGCCACGCGCCTCAGCCGGCGGGCGCCAACAGTGCTGCCCGGAGCCGTGTGCGGCAGCCCCTCCACGTGCTGTCCAGAGCCGGAGCCCGAGTTGGAGCCCGAGCCGGAGCCGCCTGCAGAGTCCCGGCGGCCAGCCACCAGCCTCAGATGGGCCAGAGAGCCTGGACAGGCGGACACTGACCACTGGGCCTGGACAGGCGGGAGCCCAGCAGCGGTCAGCGGGGCCAGCCTGGCCCAGAAAACCCACCCAGCACTGCACAAGATGCCGGACTGCTGTGTGTGTTCTGACAGCGTGAGCCTTTGGGGAGACTTGGTAGGTGGTGAAAGCCACAGTGGAGGAGCAAGGAGCCCTCTCCTGGCCTCCAGGCCTGGCGGGCAGGGTGAGGGCTCCCTGGGAGAGGCAGCCGGGGCTCGAGGTGGGCGTGAGGTGGGGTGTGAGGTGTGGGGTGTGCTTGGGCTGGGGGTGGCCTCTGAAGTCAGTGTGTGGAGGGCACGGGGTCTGGGGTGCACTGGCCCTGTGAGGTGAGAGCTGGGGACTCACCCGCGTGAGAGCCGGGCCCGGGGGCGGACAGCAGCCCGCACTGCTCACGGCATGTCGACCAGCTGTGATCAGATCTCTGAGTCAGTGTTCAGCAATTTGGGATAATGAAGTTGCTTCCCCTGAGGCCCCACAGGGAGGCTTTGGGAAAGCGGAGGGTCCACCCTCCGTGAGAGCTCAGCCCGGACGGCAGGATGGCCCAGCCAGGCAGGTGTGGACCCTGAATTTGGGGGCCCTGAAGTCTGGAAGCTTCTGCCTGCCTCCCTGAAGGGACCCCCCCCAAGCCGCCGTCTGTGCCTCGTCTCCTGCTCTGGGGCAGTGCTGGGCCTCCAGGGCCCTGACCTGTGGGCAGAGGGCACCAGTGCCCAAAAGCTGTTCCCTGTCTCTGTTGTACACCCCGTGGGCAGGAGCTGCTGGCTCTGGCTTCTCAGACTGACCACCCTCCTGAGCCACCACCCCGTTTAACTGGACCATCAAACTGCTACTTTCAGTGTCCATTTGTCTGGCTGGACATGGTGGCCTCAAGCCCGGAGGCCCGGAGTTGCTCCATGACACATTTGGTTGAAAAATCAAAGAGTCAAATAAGCCCCCCAGCCCCTGTAGGCACTGAACACTCAGCGGGGGGCAAACTTGGCCTTGGCTTTGCAGACATGAGGCTCCGAGGCTGGCGCTCGAGCCTCCCCTCCAAGGCCTCCAGCCCTGGCCTGGCTTTAACCTGGGGCTGATCCCCGTGTCCCCCCAAATTCACGTCCACTGGGAACCCCAGAGCGTGGTTGTGTTGGATGCAGGGTCTCTGTAGAGGTCATTGAGCTAAGATGTGGTCACCTGGATTTGGTGGCCCTAAATCTGGCCAGTGGTGTCCCCCAAACTGTACAGAGGGGCTGGAGCAGGTGCGCCCCTGAGCCCCTGGGGAGCCTGGGACCACGAGGGCTCAGGCATCAGCCTCAGGGCTGAGGGAACACGTGTCTGTGGCCTCAGCCCTGGCTTGCGGCTGTCGGCCAGGGCGGCCCCGCGAGGGTGAGACTGTTGGGCCCGTCCATCTTGGCAATGAGGGGCGGGGCGGGGGTGGCCAGGGCCTGGCGCTGCCCCAGCCAGCAGCTTGGGGTGCTTCTGAGTGGGACCGTGGACCCTGCTGTGTCACCCGGCACCCAGGCCAGTGTGTGCCCAGCAGCTATGGGCTCGGGGTGGGTCCCTGCCTGTGAGGCCAGGGGTCGGCCTGGTGGCTCCTGTGGGCCTCAACAGGGAGCCCTGGGGGGGCTTTGGGAGAGGGAGGCCGGTGGCAGGGATGGAAGCGGCTAGATGCAAGGCCAGTGTGGACACAGATGGGCTGAGGTCTTGGTGGGGGCGGTGCTCGGGATGCTTCCTAGGGACACAGGAGGAGAGCCTGGCTTTGGCACAGGGACCGTCCCCCTCCTGGCTGTGTTCCTTGGAGCCAGGGCCAGTCCTGTGGTGGGCGGGCAGCCCTGTGGGAGCCTGGCACCCCACCTCACAGAGTGGCCCTCAGGGCGCAGCAGCCTGGGCTCCGCCAGGGCAGCGGGTGGGTGGTCGACCCCAAGGTGGCGTGTTCGCGTTTTAGGGAAAACACCGCAGCTGCTTTGGGGACACACTGGTCAGGTTGAGCTGCGCCGTCCAGACACAGAGCTCGGCTGCCCGGCCCTGCGCCAGGTGGCTGGGCAGCTGGACACTGGCGGGTTCTGTTCTGAACCCTGAGCTGGGTTTCAATAGGATCAAACAGGCCCAAGCTCCCCGCCCCAGTCAGGGTCAGCGGCTCGGGCGCCCGCAAGGCCTTGGGAACAGCTGGCTGGGAAATGGCCGGTCATGTCAGAAAGGCGGGCACCTGGGGGTGTGAGCGGACCTGGATTCAGCCTGATGGAGGTTGTCGGAGCAGAGCAGAGGCTGCGACACTGCAGAGGAGGGAGGCGGGGCAGGGAGGGCGAGGCGCCTCCAGGGAGGCCCTGCTGCTCGATGTCCTTGCGGGGCTGGACAAGACAGCCTGGCCTGCAGGGTTGGGGGCCCGGAGCTGGCTCTGGGGATGCAGGGGGCCCCCAGGCGCCGGGGAGGGAGCTAGTCTTGATCCCCTAAGGGGGTGCAGCCCTCCCTTCTTCCCAGGCTCTGGGGGGGAGACCACCCCCCACTCAGACCACTCAGCTGGGGAGCACAGGCCTCCGTGGCTTGGAGGGACACGGGCTCGGAGGTGTGGGTGTCTCAGGAGCATCTGCCCCCGTCAAGTTTGCTGCGTCTTTGTGTTCACACGTGCGCCCGAGCGATAGCCAGTGCAAATCTTTGTCTAATTAAGTCCAGAGAGCTCCCTCAACACGCGCGAAGTAAAAATTACAAGCGATAAGCAGCATCATGTCAGTTTAATCGGCGGCGTTTTGTCTTTCTTAGAGGCGCATAAACTGCCGAGCACTGTGGCGGCTGGTGTCAGGCGCACAGCGGGTCCTGGCTCGGTCAGGGTCAGCCTTGGGCGCCGGCCTCCAGGCACAACCGCACGCCCGGCTGGTGTCAGGGCAGCTGCTCTTCTTCTCCGGGGAAGCTCTGGCCCGTGGACCTCGGGGCGCCGCTCCCCAGCGCACCCCAGGCTGGGCCGCGGGTGCGGGGAGCTTGGGGTCCGCAGAAGTCACCCTGACCGCTTCCCAGTCCTGGTCGGCCAGACCCGAAGGTGTCCAGGAGCGTGTCAGGCCCGCGCGCCTCTCCACGCAAACCACCAGGAACAAGACACGCAGGCATGCGGCGCTTCCCCACTTGGGCTCAACTCTTCTTGTGGCGGGGCCTCCGCGCGGGAGCTGATGAGGCTGGGAGGGAAGGCATCCTGGGAGAGCCGCGTTGTTAAAACCCTCAGTTTAATTCAGATTGATAGCAGCGCTTAGCAGGCCAGCCTCCCCGAGTAATTGAGTCACACTTCCCGAGGCGGATCCCATCTCCCCGCAGGCGTGGGGACTGGCGCGTGCGTATCCCAGCGCCCCCCCCACCCCTGCCCCTGTGGCTGTGGCCCTGGGCTGTCACTCAAGGAGACCAGGTAGAGGGGGGACCCCAGTGTGCCCTGCCCCCACCCCACTCTTCTGTCTAGCTAGGCAGGGCAGCCCTTCCAGAAGCTTCTCTCTGTGGGGAGCTGAGTTTGTCTTCCATCATTGCTCTCCCAGGACTCTTGGCTGCACCTATTTGTCATTTGACTTGCTTCTCTGGTGTTTTCTGTCCTTGGTGGGCATCTATTTTGACAAAATCTCCCTCTATCTGGATCATCCCTGGACGCCCGGCTCATCCATCCAGCTGGGAGGGACATTTGTCCTCTAATGTCCAGCTCCAGGCTGGAAGCTGTGGCACGGAGCCAGCACTTCATCAGCTGGAAGGGGGAGACGTGGGAGGGCCTCACGGAGGCTGGCAGAGGCCCCTGGACGCTGCAAATTTTTGCTTCTCGTGGTATATTGGACCTGGGAATAAACATGGCCACGTAAGATGGAAGCATTTTCTCCTCAGCTGGCTCTATGAGGTGGCTGTGCTCGTGGCACTGTCTTGAAGTTAAGGAAAGAAACTCAAAACAAATTAAGAATGAAACTTCCCAGAGAACAAGAACAGCCTGCAACCATAACGAATTAAAGGTCTGCCGGCGTGCGTGAGCACACACACCCATGCACCTGACCGCGTGGCTCTCCAGACACATCAGCCACACTAAGGGGAGCCCAGGCCCGGAGCCAGCGGGGCCCTGACTGGCAGGTAAGCAGAGAAGGAGGCAGAGGCTGAGATCTGGCTGGTCTGGGGGTGACCCGGAGCTGGAGAGGTGCAGAGGACACTGACAAATAGGTGCATCTACACACACACAGAGCACGAAAACCGGCCACGTCTTGGTGTGGTGCAGGACCCAGGCCGGGTCGGGCCACCGAGGGTTCTCGCAGCCTCCAGCAAACCCGCGCAGCGACGGGAAGGATGAGGTGAAGGCCAAGGCTGATGCACGGGGTTGAGGGGGAACCCGCTCCATCCCCCCCCAGCAGGGGGCTTTTCCCTCCAGGGTGCCCTCCTCTGCCTCTCAGGCCCTGGTGCCTTCCCCCAGCCCTGCCCCAAGTGACGCTGCCTTTTTATCCCGCCCTTCTGGCCCAGGTGTGTGTGTTTACACACAGCAGGCCCGTGCCCTGGGGGCCGTGTGTGTGCGGGCAGGGCTGCAGGTGCTGGCCGTAGAGGTGAGTGGTGGGAGGGTGTGAAAAAGCCCAATTAACTCATTGACCTCACCGGGGCCAAAGAGGCCGGCTCCTCCGGCTTCAGGACTCGCATTAAACTTGTTGTCTAAGCACACACGAACCACGTTCAAATTAGCATATGGATAATTCTGTAGAAACCCCAGTTTTGAGCAGCAAATGAGCATATGTCTGACTCGCACTTGGAAAGGATCGGCGAGTTAAGTATAGAGACGGAGGGTAGCGAGATTTGACAGGGAGCGAAGCCATTCTTAACGCGAAGCAGTTTCAAGTGCATTTAACAGGAAGCAACAAATGCTGAGAAGCAGCAAATCTGGCTTAGAGAAATGTGGCGCGCTGGACTTCTGGGAAGACCAGTCCAGGAAAAGAGAAGCTGGAAATACAGACCGTCCGTTGGCGTCAGGAACAGACACGTTTTACTGAATTGGGCCCCCATGAAAAGGATAAACGTGAAAATGTGTAAAAGGCCGAAGTGGGTGTAAAATGACGCCAAAGGACAGCGTGTGTCGGCGCAGGGAGCGCTCCACCCCAGCCCTGTAGTCCGGATGATTTTTCGGGGACTTCTACAGTCCCGTCTAGGAGCTTGTAGGGTAAGTAAAGCATCAGGCTTTTCTGCCCTCCGCCATTAGGATTAATGAGGGATCCCCGCGCTCCTGCACGCACGCCGGATGGCGGCCCCAGGAGGGGGTGTGGGCCCGCGCAAGTGGGTGCACCTGGGCTGAGACTGGGCCTATAAGGGCGGTGTCGCGGGGCCGCCAGGAGAACCACGAGAGAAGCAGAGAGAACGCGGGAGAAGGCCGGAGAGCCCAGGAAGAGTGAAGACTTGCTGGGGGCTGGGAGCCTGCCCGCCTCCCGGCCCCCCAGCATCCTGCCTGCCGTGTGCCTGGTGAATCCCAGTAAAAGCCTGAAAAGCCACCGAGGGCTCCGGGACTTCTTACCCCGCCTGCTCGGGTCGTAGAGAGCCTGCCCTGTGTCCTCCTGCCCTGACAGCTGTTCGCGCTCCATCCGCTTCGGGGGCGGTGTGGGAACGGAGGGAAGCAGCTCAGGACCTGGCTGGCTGCGTGAGGCCGGCGCGGTCTGCATTTCTCAGTCGAGTGCGGAGAGAAGAGTAAAGCAATACTCCGTGGCCTTTTTATCTCCGAACCAAGTTGCAAAAACCCTAAGCGAAGCCTCGCCATGGGGTTTGCGGCAGCAAGAGGCCAAAGGGAAAGTTTCACATTTTTATCTTCATCAAGGCAGAGAAAGAATTTGATCAGGATCCGGCCCTATTTGAGATAAGATAGGAAAAAAAGAAAAACACAAACCCAAACACCCCACCCTGAGCCGGAGCCGGCGGCGTCCACGCAGCTGGGTTCCGGGAGCACGAGAGCCCTGGCAGCGAGAGCAAACCTCAGAGAAAACGGAGGAGGAAACCCTCGTCACTCGGGGCCGCCGCCAGGAAAAATCCCCGCGCCTCGAGCCGCCACGCACCAGATGCTGCTTCACGATGGCAGGACGAGCGCGTCTCCGCAAGCCGTGGGCAGGCGGGGAAGATCTCTGCAGCGCTAAGGGCTGCCAGGGGACGACCACTCGGGATCCACAAGATATTCCTGTGAATCAAAAAGGTGAGGATGGCGATCGCCAGGGCACTTGCCAGAGCCGCTGCTGGGTGCTGAGGGTCCCCGAGATGGGTGCTGAGGGGTCCAGAGGACTCAGTGGGGAGAGGGAGCTCTGGGAGGTGGGGAGACCAGGGGAGGGGGGACTGGGAACAACCCCTCGACGCAGAGGGGGAAAATCCCTTTGGAGAGGGTGTGCGGGCACCGAGCGTGAGCTTGCGGGGGCCACGTCCTCAGCCAGGAGAGGCCGCAGAGGTGCCCCTCGAGCTTTGCACTCTCCCCGCCTGGTCTCCAGGTCCGCTGGCCTCGTGGTTGGGGGACGCCCCCTTGGCACCCGCCCCGGGCCGGCCTGAAACATCAGTGTTCCGGTCACCTGCGTCCATGTTGGCATCTCAAGTTAATTTCATTTTATTTGGATCATGATGGATTTTAATGTAAGATAAGAGCAAACCTTTGCCAACCTCGGGCAGTTTAATAACCACAAGCTTTGATTAGACGTTTTAATGGGCGGGATGATGGGCGGCGCGGGGCCCGGACCGGCGGGTCCCTGCGGTGGCTGCGATGCTTGTTTTTCTGCCCAGGACAGGAAATCTAGTTTCAGAATTTTTTCCTAAGTCAGAAAAAAAAACCCCAAAAAACCAAAAACCCGAGCCTCTAACTCGTTTCACTCAGTTCCCGAGCGGGCCTCTGTTCAGCTGCAGCCCCGGCTCGGCCTCCGGGGACGGGACAAGGGAGGAGGCGGGAGGCCTCACCCGGGCTCAGCCCCAGGCGTCATCCTTCGTGGGCGTCTCCGGGCTGTCGTGGCAAGTTGCCAAAACGAGGGGCTCCACGCCGAGGAGACGTGCCTCCTCCCTGGGTGGAAGGCAGAGGCCTGGAGCCGGGGCAGCCGCAGGCCTCGCGCCTGCACGGCCTCTTCCAGGCTGGGGGCTCGGGGTGCCCCTCGGCTCAAGGCTGCCTCACCCCATCCCTGCCTCCACCCTGGTGCCTCTCGCCAGAACTCCTGCTGCTGGACCGAGGGCTCAGCCAGAAGTTCCAGGATGGTCTCGAGTTCCTGAATGTGACCGCCCCGCCCGGCCACGCTCCAGGGCACCAGGGTCAGGACGCCCGCAGATCCTCCTGGGGCCCCGGGGAGCCCAGATTCATGTACTGAGGACCTGACCTCGGTGCGACGACGTGCGGACATGGGACCTTTGGGGGTGATCGGGGTGAGACGAGGTCATGGGGATGGGGCTCCCACAGAGGCTAGTGCCCGTGTCGGGAGAGGTAGCCTCGCTCTCCCCTCCGCGCCGCCAGCAGAGGCGAGTCTCACTGGGACCCAGAACTGAGAGACACAAACGCCTGTGGCTTACGCGACGCTTAGCAGAACACGCCGGGCTTGGCCACGGCCGCCGGGCTGGCCCCGCGCGTCTGCTCTGCCCAGGTCCCGGCAGCCTTCGAGGCTTCTCTCCTCCTGCCTCCCCCTCCCCGCCTCCCCTGTCCCTTGGGAAGGGTGGCCATCTGTGGCCCACACGGTCCCCGTTCAGGGGCTGACTTATCTATCGCCAGGACAGTGGCCGGGATGGACTCCTGGGTCTGGCTGCAGCGCCGTGTCCAGCAAGAGCAGCAGAGCAGGGACCGGTCAGGCCCACAGGTGCTCGGGCGCCGTGACAGCACGGGCTCTGGGTGAGGCGGCCCCGGGGCCAGGGCCAGGGGCTCGGCGCGCCGTGAGCGAGGGTGCTGTCCCGAGGGCCGTGACGAGGACTCGTCGTATTTTCAGGGCTTAAGCGAGTCGGTCGGTCTCGGCGGCGCGTGTGCGTCCAGTGTAATCCTGGTTTTGTGAAAACGTGCGTTTCCTCTTAGGACCGAAGGCGGAGGGCAAACACCAGCCGCCCACCGCCCTTGGGGCTGGCGGCCAAGTCAGGCGCTTTCATGTCCATCTGTGTTTCTTCTGTTGCTCCAGTGATTAGGACAAATCAACGGAGATAAAGATGCAGCCTTGAAAGCTCTGTCCTCTCGGGCCTTCATCTCTTCAGATGTGCGCGGGCTGTGCCCGCTCGGCGCCAGCTTCCTCTTTCAACACACGGGTGGGAGTGTGTAATTGCCGAACAAGCCCATACCACGCGCACCCTGCCCCCCGCTTTGCTGTCAGGCCGACGCCCGAGCCTGGGTCAGGCCCCCCCACCCCCCTGCTCCACCCCTTTGCAGCCGTTTCTCTGGTGGCTCCTCCGATCCTAACCTCCAACCCTCCACAGCTCCCAGGCGCTCGCCAACCCCCATCGTGTGCGTTTGGCTTCCGCTTCCTGGGGTGCGACGGCTTTCTTCTTGGGAACTCCTATTCATGCTTCAAAACCCTCTCCAAATGTCCCCACGCTGAGATAACATCACTCCTGGTTTTAAATCCCACTGTTCTCAGTAAATAGTCCAAATTTCTTAGCTTGGCTCCTGTTGGTTACCTACATCTTCCACCGTTCCGTACCTCCCCCACCTCCCCCACCCTGTTCCAGCCCCCCCTCCCCCGTGCCCTGCACACTGAACTTCTGGCATTTACTTGTGACCCCTCTCTTCCCACCCCTTGACCCTTTGTGTACCCAACTCCAAATTCTTTTAAGTTTTGGCCTAAATATCCCTTCCCTGATGCCCCTGCTGGGGTTCCGGCAGCCCCCTGGCCTGCACCCCATTACAGTGCTCACCCTGCAGACCCCCAGTTCCCCAGGGACCTGTCTGGCCGTTAGGGCGCAGGTGACACTGGGGTGGGGGCTGTCATGGGATGGTGATGGGGGGACAGTGAGGCTGCGGCCCCTGCCAGCTGGGGGACGGGGCTCCATGAGGACTGCACCCCTTGCCGCTGCATAGCAGGTGTTGGCCGAGCCCGTGGGCACCTGACTGCCCCTCTGCTCACTCCAGGGGTGCTGCTGGGTTTTGGAGCTGACTGTGCCAGGCCAGGTGAGCCAGGCTCCATGGGTGCCTCCTGCCGCCTCCTCGCCCACTCCCTTACGAGCTGTGGTCTTGGAGAGTCTCGGATGGTCTGGGGTCAGGACAGGTGTCGGGGGGCTGGGGGTCTTCTCCCTCCTTTCAGGACCCACAGCTCTGCGGGCCCGGGTGCACTGGGGATGGGGACCCCTTCAGGGGGCACCTGTTCCCAGGGGAGACTTGGGGTGTTTGTAACTCCCTGTTACTTGGCAGCGCCTTAGGGGTGGGGGTGGTTTGTGTAAGTCCACAGCGAGGTGATTCCTCGCGCAGGGCTTCATCTGACGTTCACGACCCCTCGGCTCAGGGCAGCTGTGATCACTCAGGAATCACCACAGCACAATTTAATAAGGGGGAATGAGCTGGCAGCGAGTCGGCCTCTGGGGCTGTCATCTCCCACCCGCGGGGGCTACTGCTGAGGAGCCCTCAGGGTCTCACACTCAGGGCCCTGCTGCTCATTTGCTCGCCCGGCTGGCCGGGGCCTCCTGGCCATCACCCCAGGCTCCCCCACTGAGATCCCTGGCGGGGCGCCTCGCTGGCCTCACCTGTCCAGGGCAGGTGTGTGGGTGGGGCAGGGAGGGGCATCTCCCTCCCAACTTTCTGCAGGAGCAAACGTGCCTGCAGCGAATGACGTGCTGTGCGCTCTGCAAGCCCTGGCGGCGTGAGGCAGCTGCCAGAACGCTCGTGCAGCCGTCACAAGGCGATTAACTCGAAAATTGAATTGATGAGCATTGATTTTGTTAATAAAGTTACTGTAATGTTGTAGGCTAAGTGAAAAGCATCAGGCTTTTCTGCCCTCCCGCCATCAGGACCGATGATGGATCCCTGCCGTCCTGAACGCACGCCTGATGGCGGCAGCTGGAGTGGGTGTGGGCATGCCTAAGTGAGCACATCTGGGCTGAGAGACTGGGCTTTTAAGGGCGGCGTCACGGGGATGCCAGCAGAACCACGAGAAGGGCAGAGAAGCAGAACACAAGAGAAGGCCGGGGAGCCTAGAGAGAGCGACGACTTGCTCGGGGCTGGGAGCCTGCCCGCCTCCCGGCCCCCCGCACCCCTGCCTGTCATGTGCCTGGTCAATCCCAATAAAAGCCTGAGAAGCCACCGAGGGCTCCAGGACTCGCTCCTCTTCGACCCGTCTGCTCGGGTCATGGAGACCCTGCTCCGTGCCCTCCTGCCGCTACAAATATATTCACTCATTAGAATCCGGAGCTGAAAATAGACATTTTGTTTCTGATTACGGGGCTGTCCCTATAAATCTCCGGGGATGGGAGAAACGCTCACACCCCACTAGCCACCACCCCTATTAGAACCTTTCATGGGCTAGTTTTCTTCTCCTGTGTGGGGACTTGACACCTTGGGGATTCCCTGGGGCCCCTTTCTGGCCTCAGAGCTGCGGGTGCCAGGGCCTGGGAGGTGGGGCCTGGAGACAAGGCCAGTCCCCCCGCCCCGGGCTGGGCTGCCCTGTTAGCCGTGAGTCAGGGGCAGTGCAGGCGGGAGGAGGGCAAGGCACCAGCCGCAGGTTCCGGGGCACCCAGACGCATGTCACTGAGGCGGGAATGCAAATGATGAGCCACCAGGGAGCTCCTGCCATGGGGTCCGACGGGGGACGGGCAGGCTGCCGGGGGTCCTGCGAGGCCACAGGTGGCTCTCGGCCTGGAGGGCAGACACCTGCAGCTGGCCGGCGCCGGCGTCTGCAGGGAGGCCGGTCTGCATGGCCATTCCCCGCCTGCTTCAGGAACGGGGCTCAGGGAGACCCGACTCCCGGGGTGGCCTGGCTTGTGCTGTGCCCTCCGTGTCCTCCAGTTCGGGTCTCAGAAGCTCTCGGGAGGAGCCGGTCCTCTTGGAAGGAGCCCAAGGATGGAGAGTTCAGGGCCGTGTGGTGGAGGCCAGGCCAGGCGAGCCAGGGTCTCTGGGGTGGGCAGGGGTGGGCAGGGCGCAGGGGCCCGGGAAGGGGTGGGGGCCTGCATGGTTCCCACGTCCCCTCTGTCCCCCGCTCTTCTCATGGAGTGAATGGCCGGGTCTCTCCAGTGAGGGGACAGTGACTCTCCCGAGGCAGAGACGGGGAGACAGAGACGGGCGTGTGTGTGGGGAGAGACGGAGGGGGCGGGAATCCCTCCGCTGAGGAGGTGGCGCGGTTGGTGCTGAGAACAAGACAGAGCCGGCCCTGGCTGGGAGGCCCCGATGCGCAGGCCGGGCCCTGTGACCGGGGCAGATGGCAGCCGGCCCCTCTCTCCGAGTGGCAGCCCAGGCAGCCCCGGTGCCCCCCTCGCCACCCACCTCCCGCCGCCCGCGTCCCGGGCAGGGCTGGGGTTCGTCCCTCGGTGTCTTCACGCGGCTGCTCCCGGGACGGCGCCTGCAATAACAATAATTCAGGGAGGGCAGTTGATCAAGCCCTGCTTATTGCGAACCGTAAATTAAAAGCGAGCCCGGCCACCTTTACGTCCCGCCCAGGGAGCAGCGAGCCGGCCGGGCCAGGAGGGCGCACCCAGCCACTCCCGCCTGCGGCGGCCTCGTAAAGCCAAGGAATAATTTTTCAAGGAGATAAGGGCTGGCTGGACGCGAGAATCGGAACCGCTGCCGACTCCTGCCCCAGGAGGTGCATCCGGCCAGGGGAGGGATTTCTTTTCCCATTTTTAATTTACAAGAACCTTGTAAACTACAAATTAAAGGAGCAACAGCAATTCAGAAGGCTTGATTCATTAAGCCTTTATTTACCCTTAATGCCTCCAAAGAAAAATAATTTGGTGACTGAGCATGAGCTATGGGCCGGGGCGCACATGGCCTCACAAGTCCCCGGACGCTGGGGCGTGTGCTGAGCGGGGAGGCGGGGGGGGGGGTACCCCGGGCCTCCCGGCGGGTCTCTATTCTGAGCCGAGGGTTCTCAGGCCTGGAGCCGGGACGGCCTCGGGGAGCCGCGGCCGCTGGTCCACCCGCGTGTTTCACATTCGTGCCCCGACGAACCTGGGTGACAGCGTCCTGAGACCTCTGGATGGCCAGGACACCTGGACACGCCAGTGCGGGACACGCCGGCCCCTGGTGGAGGGCTGCGGAGTCCCTGCGGCCGCTGAGCGCCTGCCGCTGGCCAGGGAGGCCACCTTCTAGCTGTGTCCTGGCACGGGGCGGGGCATCTCCTGGCGCAGGCCATCCTGAGGTGGCTGCGCTGCAGGGCACGTGATTTATCATTCCTGGGAGCGTCTGTGGGGGGATTTTGGGAGGGAATCGGTGGTCTCAAGAGCGAAGAGCACCTCCCCCTGTTCAGGTGGGCTCCCCGGCCACGGAGGGCATGAGTGGAGCACGAGGCAGGCCCACCCTGCTCTGTTGGGTGTCCAGCCTGCCTTTGGGCACCTGCGCGCCCGACTCCACAGCCCGCGGGCTTGGTGGGGCACGCACCCTCCCTCCTGGGGCTCCGGGACTGCGGGCCACTATCTCACGAGGGTCTCCAAGACATCCGTGCACACCCATGTCTTCGAGATCCTGCCTGACACAGGGGCTCCCCCAACACCCCGGCCCGGGGACTGGGCTTCCCCTGGTGGACGTCTGCCTGGGCGGGGTGGGGGCTCCAGCTCACGTGGGCTGTGGTCACCACGGACACCACGCTGGCCCAGGCCCCTCGGGGATGGAGAGGCAGGCGCCACCTCGGCTTGGCAGGTGGGGGACAAGCCCGGGAGGGTGTGTGTCTCGGGAGGGCGATGTGGGGGGTGTATATGGGAAGGGGTGGGGCATGCAGGGTTGCAGCCTTGCCCGGTGGCCTCTCCAAGGAGCTGGGGTGTCACTGTCCAGAGAGGACTTCTCCCGGGCCGGGTGGCAGGGAGAGTAGGTCGCCGCCGAGGGCGGGGCAGACGCGGCGGCTCCCATCAGGCCCAGGCTGGGCGTGGGAGCAGGACGCTGCCTGCCTGGTGTGCTGGGGGCCAGTGGGGCATTAAATTCCAGGGCTGGACGTAAGGAAGGGGCTCCCATGACCTTTTGGGGTGCAGAAAACTTGGGAGCGGTGCATGAAGGGCTCCTCCAGGGGCGGCTGGGTTTCCAGCCTGGGAGCGGCCTCACGGTGGCCGCCTCTGTCCCCGAGCTCTGCCTCACAAGTGATTACGTTGTTACCCCACTTGTTTTACGGACTTATCGCCTGTTTACAAGACCTGTGGA